GGAATCGTCTGCAGACAAGCAAGCAAGGATGCTGATACACTGATTGCTCGGACCGCTGAATCATTAGCGTAAAATAATCAAACTATTTCGATTATGGGGGAAGATATAGATCTGCTGGTAATTATGACGGGTCACATCACTTCTCCAAACGTATATCTGCCGAAGACGGAAGGAGATGAAGCCTCAGTTGCTGTACAAACGGTAGTCTGCAATGGAACAAAATCTTTCCAAGCATATGATGTTTTTGCACTCGATGAGTGGATGCGACTCCACGTTATCTGTTTACAACCAAGGCAACACTCAATTCCTGAAAACCCTTTAAACATCCGGAGCTCCAAGAAACCGTTATAAAATTCATGGATCCGTCAGCCCAGCCAATGGCAAATACTGCTGCTGGAGAAGAATTCTTGGTTGCCCTGTACTGGTTTAGCCATGTAACAACCAGCTTGACTGCGCTAGGATACAAGCAGTACATAACATATACCTTCTCCAGCAATATTGCATCCATCCCTTCAACCGATGCTTTAGCTAACCAGCATATAGCTTGCCTGTTTATCTTCAAGTGCAGCAGTGGCTTGGCAACATTCTGGATCCAGAACAGTGGGGTTAGAAGTCAACCAAAAATTGTCTGATCCCAGACCCTGAAATCTCCGGCCCCTGATAAACTAATGCAGCAAATTTCATGCAAATGCTACAATAACTGTGGTAGGCGTACTTCAGAAGAAAATTTACGTCTTCTCATTTGCGTAAAACGGGCTATCGGGAATGATTGTTTGCCTAATGTTGACAGTAAAGTGATCATAGGTTCTCAAAAACACAAAGAATTGGATGAGCCAGTTTTACACAATTTACACACTTGTGAATTATCACCAGAAAACGATGAATAATCAACGCATATCAAATTCACATAATAAAATTATTGAAGAAAATAAAAATAGTGTGTGAACAAATGCATTTGCTGGATTACTGGAAGGACATACTCCATCTGAACAAGCCAACTATATCAATGATTATTTTTTATAGTGTAACAGTAAAATTGTAATACCTAGCTATGATATGTATATTGAAAAGGCATATACAAAATTCTTTTTCAGGCCAATAACACCTGAAGAAGTTCTTTCAAAAATTAGTAAAACTACTGCAAAATCTTCACCTGGTGCTGAGGATATTGATGGAAAAATAATTAAATCAGTTGCAACTATTATTGCTGAACCGCTATGTTATTTAATGAATAAGTCTTTTATTGCTGGTATTTTTCCAGATATAAAGGAACCTGAAGGTGTGCCGATTTTCAAAAACAAGGATCTACTGCTGATATTAAAAACTACAGGTTAATTTGTATTCAAAATCAAATTTCGAAAATTTTTGAATTAGTTATTGTCACAGATTAACAAAATATTTAGAATATTTCAAACTACTTCCTGACATACAGCATGGGTTTAGAAAATCTAAATAAACTGCTATTCAAGGTACATTGGAATATTTATCCAAATCTCTCAATAATAAAGAAAACACTGTGCCTCTTCTATGATTTGAGCGATGCTTTGATACAATAGACAGAAATTTACTATTGCAAAAATTAGAGGCCATAGGTGTCCGTGGAATACTACTGGATTGTCCAAATCATATCTATCCAATCGAACACAAATATCATTGTTTAATATCATCAAATCCCAACCAAGATAGTCCAGGTTAGGAGTCTCCCAGGGTACAATCCCAGGTTCCTTATTTTTAATATATTTACATCTGATATCAAAAGGTGTCACCTTCCCGAGCAAATGGTACTGTATGCTGACGATACCAATATCTTCCCATAAGGATACGGAACAACTAGTTACAAATAGTAACGCAGCTTCTGAAGAATATAAGTATTGTTCTCAAAATGGACTTCAACTTAATATTACAAAAACATTTTTCATGCGATTCATACCACGAAATGTATCACCAGATTATGACCCCTACTTGAATATTCAAGGCAATTCAATTCAAACCACGGAAACTATAGAATAGAATAGAATAGAATAGCATTTATTTACTCTATAAAATACCCTGTACTGGGTGTTGAGCTCCTCAAAAATATATAATACAAATATTCATACAAAAATACATACTAATGATAATAATAGACAATCTATGCCACAAACAACAAACCTACAGTATAACATGGCTAATGAAATGATAAGAGATATAAAGTTTTTGGGTATCACACTTGATAAAAAATTGACATGGGGCCACATATAACCAGAGTTTGTTTTAAACTTTAAGTACATGCTGCTATATAATTAGAAAATTAAGAGAAACAGTATCCTTCGACGTATTGAGACTGTTGTATTTTGGCCTGGTACAATCAATTTTACAATATATACTGATATTTTGGGGATCATCAGCACACTTTGAAAACGCTTCGTCGCTCGAAAAAAAAAAAATCATAAGAACCATGTTCAATGTTCATCCATCGACTACCTGTTATAATCTCTTCACTAGAGCACAAATAATGACTTAACCTAGCCTATTTATCTATTGCTTGGTTATCTACATTCGAGCTAATCAACATAAGTTTGAGAAGAATGAGGATAAACACTCGCATAAATCTCTTCACTAGAGCACAAATAATGACTTAACCTAGCCTATTTATCTATTGCTTGGTTATCTACATTCGAGCTAATCAACATAAGTTTGAGAAGAATGAGGATAAACACTCGCATAATACAAGATCAAAATGTGATATCAAACTTACGTCTACAAATATGTCGAAATTCACCTAATTACATAGGAATTGAAATATATTATAATGAGCTTAAACTCCTATACAAAAATTATGAAAACTGTAACATATCATTTGAGACTGAACTTTAAAGCTTTCTACTTGAAAATGCATTATATTCCATAGAGAATTTTCTTCAGTTTTGAAATAATTTTACCTATTTTTTAATTTGTTGGTGAATGTATTTATAATGATTACTTTGAAATTATTTTTACTTATATTTTAATCTTTTTGTAAATGTATTCATATTGATTATTTGCTATCATTATGTTTGATTTTACAACTACTATCTACTGGTATCTTGACTAGGCTGATAAGTATCATGCATGTTACTTATGTTCTACCTTTTATGTTGCAATAAATCATATCATATCATGTCGAAAGCCTCTATTTTTAATACTTGTACAATTTTTTATTGAATACGACTGTACTTTGTTGGTTCGATGCTCTTATCTAATTCATCATGAACCAATGTATCTTGGACGTGGTTCACTGATGCTCTAAAAATTTTGAAAGATAATTTTCACCACAAACACATTTTTGCTTCCTCTACAGCTTAAAACACTCAGTGAGGACTTCAGGTTCATAAAAGGTCCAAAAAATATAAGCTTTTAACAATATTATAGAGGGTCTATCTCAATACATCGCTATTATGGACTTGGTCCACTACAGCTTTGGATACCTCATTTTCAGTTTTTTGCGATGTTCTAATTTTCTTGACCATCTGCTTGTGCCAAATTCATGACATGGTACAGATACTGAACAAAATGCTCTTTGGTCACCAGCTGGAATTGCCCTGAAATCTTGAAAAATAGGGGGGGAATCTTTTGAAAAGATTCGATAAAAAAACAGTATTACAACATTCAACTTCTGGATATTATTTTGGTTTTCATAGGAAAATAACAGAAACATAATGGTGGGCCTCTTCGATGGAATACCTAAAACACGGAACAACGGAATCAGTGATGTAATAGATTTTTTTTTCATGGCATTTACTCGTTTATCCCACCACTGGATTCGACGCCACTCAAGTTTAAACTAGTACAATTTTCGGGAAGCATACATTTACATTTACAACTCGACTCGACCCCATACGAACTCAGCGCCTTTGTGCTCTCGACCACAGGGCCGCCTATTCACCTAATTAAATACAATTTTTTTTCCAATTTGACGAAAAATTTCGCTTGAACTGAAATAATGACCAGTTCTACATGAGTTCTACCGATTATGTATATATTATAGATTTCTACTTCCTGTGAATCTTTCATTTTTGATATATAAAAAAAAATTAAAAACAGCCTCACAGGAATTTATTCCTTCTCAATTCAACAAATACATTTCATCTCAGAAAATATACAGGAAGCAGCAAAACGTGTATGAATATTAAATTGAAATCTATATATTTCCTCACCATTGGCAAAACTAACGCAATACTTCCTTCCAATCTTCCTCATTTCTCAATGTGGGCATTCAAAACTAACCGAGTTTGACCAATTTCTGAACGATTTTCAAGAACAGGTCATGACAATGATTTCAAATCTAGGTATATGCGCTATATCGCTACCTACATTTAATTGTCATTGTCATTGGCACTGATCACTTGAAATCATTACGTAATAATCGGCAACGCCTACTATCGAAAATCATTCATAATCTATCAAACGTTGTTCTTTTTCAAATCGAATCAAATCAAATCGGAGCTTTATTGTCCAAAAATCATTTATCCTATCGACACAGCGTGAAAATAACAAGTAGGAAGATCCACGATGTCCAATTCTGAAGCCCATATTTTGAGAAGAACAGAAGATATATATTGACTTCTGTATTTTCGGAAAGCTCTCCCAAAGTTCTATTCAATAGTGAGGAAATATATAGGGTGTTCAATTCAAAAATAATACACTTTTTGCTGCTTCATCAAACAACTAAAAAAACCGGTTAAACTAGAACCTAAAAAAGTTTGAAAGCATGATGAAACAGGCTTCCAACAACTTTTTTGAAATAATGGTAACCATTGAACGTGAACCATATTTTTTTGTAAAAATCATCTTTTATGAATTTGATGCTCAATCTTTGTATTTGAGACATGGTCAAATAGAGCGCCGGAGAATATGCTACGATGTATTCTTTTTCTCAGTTAACCTGCCATCCAAAGTACAAGAGCTCAATTTCCCTGATTTTATTTATATTTTCTCATTTTATGATAGTGAATGGTTACTCTTCAACATTTTTCTTCCAGTGGTTTCGTGCATCTGGGAGCAGGACTTTCAGTGGGCTTCTCGGGATTAGCGGCAGGTTTCGCTATTGGTATTGTGGGTGATGCTGGTGTTAGAGGCACAGCACAGCAACCAAGACTCTTCGTTGGAATGATCTTGATTCTCATTTTTGCTGAAGTATTGGGTCTCTATGGTTTGATCGTTGCCATCTATCTCTACACCAGAGCCAGCAACTAATGCCAATATTCCCTAAATATCGCATGCCAGAAGTTGCGCCTTTCACCCTCGATCATTCGTTTATGATATATAATTGTAAAAATAATGATTGTATGAGAAATCAGATAAACTGAGGCGCTCTTAAATGATTTAATTCTGATTGAACTTGTATTTTACCGGTATGAGGTAATTTAAACTGTACACTTCCCCATAGAATGTTTCAGTATTCAAAGTAGTGTCTATCTACTGTTGTACAGTTCTTCCTTACGTCGTACCTTTCAATACTTGTGCTATCATTGTAAATATTTTTTAACACTTTTGGATGCCTCTTGTTTGGTTTTCATAGCAGTCACCATTTATCATTCAAATAATTGTATAGTTTTTAGTAGACCTTAACCTATTTTTATTTTATCATATTATCATGAACTCTTTCAATCCCAAAAAGTATTTCAATAAAGTTACAAAAAGTAGCACAATTCATTTTTGATTTCTCAGAAATGCTGTATATTTGTTTGTAAAATAACTAGCGCGTTAAACTCCTTAATTTAATAGCCTTCAAAAAGGTTGATCGTTTATGGTTCAGGAATGTTGTTTTCGACTTATGAGCAGCGCAACTATTCCATAGGTAGAACCCTATTTTCTCCTCTGATATTCAAAACAATTTTGCAGTTAACTGACATTTTTTCAGACTGATTTTTAACAAATTCAAGGTTTCCAATTTTCTCAATTACCAATAAAAAATTCGAACTTTTATCTGTATAACATTTAAAAACTTATTGTTCTATTTTAGTTCCATAATAGTTTTGTTTTATCAGATCCAATCCCTTCATTGTTGAAAATTTCTTAAACCAACCCATTAAGAGATGTGTTATATTACCTTCCATAAAAAACAATGTGTATGAATTTTTGTTATGTCAGCATTGTAGTAAATATGACAACATAAGTGTATCAATGGTTTTTAGATGTCCATAGATATACATAATAGCCTAATATGTAGTGTAGCTTCAACAAAGGGCTAAGCCATTTCAAAAGAATGAAAATAATTTGAGCTGACTAAGCCTTCAATTCATAGCCAATTAAAGTGTTATATACAGTGTTTTTGATGAACAACTTGGTTTTTTGATGGTACCCTGTAATGCTGTTACCGAATTCAGTGAGCTTATAATTTCCGAGTGAACTTAATGTCTTTCATTCACAATTCAATGTTGACATTGTATCAACATATATTTTAGCCATAAAAACCCACATACCACTTGGAGATCTCCTAGAATCTGAATATGTTTGAAGCGGAATCTTATGTAAACTTGCAAAGTTACAAATAATGTATTAAAGAGAAACTACGGTGATAGGTCAAAAAATAATTTGTTCACAGTTGCACTGTAGTTATTTTTCTTTTTTTAGTCAATAATCGGTCAGCACATGGAGCATGTTGAGAGAAATGTCCGTCCTAGAGATGAATATTCAGTATAAAACCGGCAGGCATTTCTCTCATTGTAGAGGTACTATTACAATCTGTTGTAAGGAGACAGCAAAATTATGTTGGAAATAAATAATTTGTACATTCCATTATATTTCTGTTTTATCAATTTTTGTTTTCATTTTTGGGGTATTGCTCGAAATGACATTCATTATGGTGATTCTTTAGTCATTGATCATCATTAAACCGATCGACTGCCGTGTCGATCTTGAGCCATTTACTTAAAAGGTGCATCAAGAATCATCAAACCGATCGACTGCCGTGTAGATCTTGAGCCATATTTACTTAGGAGGTGCATCAAGAAGGGGAGGTTTTACATTTTAGTAAACAATTTTATTTTGATAGGTGATATGTACAACTCCTAGGTACGCACAATGTTCCTCAAACATTATAGGTATTCTCTTTCGTGCATATCAATTGATATAAAGAAAATAAACTAGTATAGATTAGATGTTTGCATAGGCAGACGAATTTTTCTAAACCATTTATAGGTAGCAGACGACTCAAAATTGCGAAAGTGATCTATATTCATTAAAAAAATCTCGCCAAACGATTCCCTCATTCATAAAAAAACTAGAAACACGTTGGCAGACGGTAAATCGAAAACATTCCCACATACCCAGATGAAAGGAATAATTGTCAAAAATAATTTTTCATATGAAAATTGAATATTTCATGGAGTACGACTGGAAGAATAACTGGACTTCTTATTACTATAAGGATGATTTGATAACCGAAATGAGTTCGTTGGAATAAATTCATATTACCTGGTGAGAGATGTTCTTTTGTTCTGTTCTGAAATTGTTCTTATTCATCATTCGGTTGCCCCCTTACGAGCAACCCTCAGTAGTCTACGAGACTTGTGTGAGGTATAACGGGGGCCTTACATGTGATCCCAAACACTTTATTAGGCTATCAAAAAAATTTCTATATACAATCGGGGATTTCAACCAACGATCACGCGAAACCGATATAATACTAATGCTTCAACCACACGGCTGCCTGACCTACCTACCAACCACCTAGATGTATTCCCCAACACATCAGTATAATACGCTCCCATTATTTTCAAAATATAATAGAATAAATCTGCATATAGAAAAAAAGAACATACATTATATAGAGACACACTACGAAATTTTCATAATTAAAATGAGCCAGCGGGTGTCTTGAGTGAATCTGTTCAATATATCTTTGAATATTATCCTTTTCTCGAGAACTGTCTATATGCACTCTCAACATGCAAAGTTTACTTTCGATAGTATATACCTTAACCAGGTTTTCATGATTGAGCAAGTGAAATTAACAGAGCCCGCGTTTAGTTGCTGGATACAAAAATTCAGTTTCTATCACCAATTCTGCTATTTCTATCTCTTTCATCGCCTTCTTTTACAATTTCTCTTCCTGCCCACAAGTTGATCTAAAATTCGTCTTCACTAGAAAATTTGTCCATACTATAATAATCAAATAAAATGTATGATTTTCCAAGGAAATCTACCCATCATATCTGTTTCGGACAGTTGAGTCCAAAATAGGATATTCGCTAGTTCAAAATTGGCTAATCATTACATAAACATATTAATGTTTAAGTAACGCCCTAGTTAACAAAAGAAAGAAATATTATGTTCATAAAATAACGTGAACTTGATAAGGTAAAAACAGTGAATTTCAAACAATATCTAACAAAAAGGGGAACAGAATCACTAGTGAGAAGGTATGTTATCATCTGAAAATCGCTATCACATGATGTTAATTAAGTAAGAAGTTTTAAAGTGACCTTTTCTAGACTTTTCGAGGGTTTGCACATATATATGAACGGTGCACTTATCGTTCTCCGACCCGTGGCCTTTGAAGGTATTTTTTCAAGACTGTCAGCGATTTTTCCAGCTTCAGTTATTGTCATATGGCTTATATCTGCTGGTTCATGGGGATTTTTCACGAGATCGAGTATTTTTCTAGCTATACACAGTGTGTCTCACTTCTCATGGAAACACCCCTGCTGTATATCTTGGGTTAGGATCCTGAAATTTGATGGAGTGAGAGAAGTACCAAAAAATGCACTCTGACCAAGTGGGTCGTCATCTTCAGTGATATACACTGCTCGCCAACAGCCATGGAACCACCCCAATTTAGGGAAAATGATATTAGGAGGCCGAAATAGGTTGAAAATCACTTTGGATTCGGAATCAGGACGCCCAATTCACTAACTATTCACATTTTTCCTGAATAATTTTCAGTTCTGAAAAATTCCTTGTTATTGTCTCACTTTTCATGGAAACCCCTGTATCTTACGACGTAATTGCTGGGTTAGAATCCTGAAATTGGCTAGAGGGAGAAATACAAAAATTGCACTCTCAAGTGGGGTCATCTTCGGTGATATACACTGCTTGCCAACATCAGTCATGGAACCACCCCAATTTCCGGAAAATAATATATTAGGAGGCGAAATAGGTTGAAAATCACTTCGGATTCGGAATCAGGACGCCCAATTCACTAACTATTTACCTATTCATATATTTTGCCTGAAAATTTTTCAGTTATGAAAAATTCATTTTTGTCTCATTTTATGGAAGCATATCCCGAATATATGAATAATAATATCATTACTAATATCAATAATAATAAGTATCAATAATATAATAATATCGATAATACGAAATGAAAATAACAAATAATTATATACTTTCAACAATATATATGGGTGATTCAAAATTCGATGTAAATATTTCAAGGACATATTGTTGGGATCAAAATAAGAATTTTGGTAAGTTGGTAGGCCCGGGCCCTGCCCTCTCAGACACTATTTCATTCTTTCTAAAGAATATGTAAACCGCTCCAGTTTGGGGGGAGGGGGGTCTTCACTTTGGGGTGGATGTTAGGACCGATATGTTTAAATAAGTCTTATTTTCATGCGACTCTCACTTCCACAAAAAATGGAAAATGATCGAGACACTAGTTCATTATCAACCCAGAATTCCCTCCAGAACTTCTCTATTCAACGTATTGAAAAAAAGTTGAAATTTTCAAAAGGTTAGAATATGCAAGAGAAATATGTCGTGTTTCATTAGTTGCAGTTTTTCAGAAACCGGAAAGTCCCTTTCTTGTCGTACGAATGTTTTCGTAACGATTTTTCCTTCTAAATAGGAAAATAAAATGCTTTATATGACGGTTGAAATTTCTCGAAATAATTCGAACCGGTAAGGTCCGTAGATACTCATTGTTTCGCGTACAAATAACGTAACAGCTAATCTGAAACTGAACTGATGTGTACAGCATCAATAGTATATTGACAAGGTTACAAGTGGTGCATTGCCTAGCTTGTTTCGGTCGTTTTTCCAGTGAATAATACGTTCATAAGTCCACTTCAAATGATTTATAATGGAGGTTTACTGATCTGGAACCATGCAAATGTCCCGGAATTATGCGGTATAACCGAAAAAATGTCCCAGAACTAATCGATCCGCATGGAAATTATGTTCAAAACAATTCGAGGACATTCATTTGGACCCGTAGAAAAAGATTATATTTCGAAAAATCCAAGATTTCTGGAAAAAATTGATGGTGTTCTCAAGAATAATTGATCCTTTTTATTTGGTATCGAATGCGCATAGTCGGCTTTGATTGGTGATATCTGAAAAAATATAGGTTTTTGCGATCTGATCGAGGTATTAATTGATTCAGCATGGTGTGACTATTCGCGGATATTCCTGTTTTTTGCGAAATTTATATTGGAGAGTTCTTGGTGTTGTTCCCGTACAAATGTTGGTTGGTTTTCATCCTCAAATATGAAATGAATGTGTACAGTCATGACGTCATATTGAGACGAATAATCGTCCCAGTTAACACAAACATCTATATGAGATGTCGCATTCATGGCAGTTGATGTCACAAAAGCGAATCACAATATTGCATCGCTGTGACAAATAGTTCGCAAATTTTATGACATTCTGTTGGATCTGAGACCAATATGGATATAATATTTATGAAGCCCCTTAACTTCACAAAGACTATAATTTGAGAATCTGAAATTTCAGTAGTTGAGAGTCATAATTTGATGTATCTGAAACGACACACTGATTCACATTGTGCTGAATGAAAAAACGAAAATATGCTTCAATTTGTGAATCTCCCTCACATCTCAAGGAAATTGATTTATGAAAGTAATATCCAACAATTCTTGGAAATCTCAGTATACTCACATACTCATGAATGTAGCGCACAATGTGACTTATGTTTAGATTCGGTCGGTGTCGGTCTGACTGATGTACACGTGAAATAACTTTTCGAAATGCCCAAGTCCTTTTTTAAAAAGATTTATTTTCGTTTTTCTACAACTGACTTGATTCTAACCCAGACAACACAAGTGAATCCATTGGACAACCAATGGATGTCCAGCTATGGATACCCTGGACATCCATTGGATGGACGGCATTGTCCAGTATTTGTCCAATGGACATCCATTGGATAATACATGTCCAACAGTTTGGACATACATTGGAAGTCCATTGGCTTTCCATTAGACATCTGATGGATTTCCATTGGACATCCAATATTTCTCCTTTCCATTGGAAGTCTATTGGATACTCATCAGACATCCAATGGATTCCCAATGAAGATCCATTGTATGTCCATTACATTTGAAATACCATTGTATACACATCAGAACTCTAATGGATGTCTACCAAAAATCCAACTTATGTAAATTCCAATGATAAGTTTATTGGATACTCATCAGGAATACATTGGATTTCCATTGGATATCCAAATTTTGTCCAGCCAGAACGTAGAAATTAAAAAAAAGTTGTACTTTGAGGGGATTGAACTCCGGACCCCGATCTCGTGGATCACAACGCTAACCTCTGGACCACTGAGCTGTTATAAATATTATAGCAAGTATTTCGTATTCACGGTATTTCACATCGAGAGAAAATGCAATTTGCTGAAGTTCAGTGCCGCAATAAAGCTTCTACACGGCCCTTATCAAAAGTGTTACAGGGTGATTCATCTTTTTCGAAAGAAACCCGCCGTATAATATTTGCCCATATCGACCTTATTTGCACGGCCTAAATGGTTTAAAATTGAAATTGGATGAAAATCAACTTCAAAATAAGTACCTACCTCTATATAGGTACGTAACCTACAAAAATGATGAGACGTATAAAATCTTGAAAAATAGTACCGAGTGCGAAGTTGTCCGTGATTAATGTTCATATATATATATTATATATTATTGGTAAAAATATTTCAATTGAAATAGAAGAGTCATAAATGACACATACATACTTTGCGAAACGATTTCCATTGGATAAGTATGATGGATATCCATTGGCTGTAAAAATTTCGTTGTCCATTGTACAACTACAAAATGGATGTCCATTGTATGTACAAATCTCTATGTCCATTGTACATATACACAATGGATGTCCATTGGACATCCATGGACATCCGGCTACCTAATGGATTCAAAATGGACATCCAATGGATGTATGTGTGTTATCTGGGAATAACATGATACAAAACTAGATTCAGACTAACTTCCCTAGAATGCAACTGGCACCTATATTTATAATCTTGTTAACATGTGTACGAAAGACGATATGCTGTCTTGTCGCAATCAGCATTTTCTTGGAATCGGCAATGGGAACCATGAGATATTTCCTCCCCTTGAAGATTTAAATCCAGAGGGCTAGCGAGGGATTTGAACATCTGAGAGATTCATCGTGGTTTGTTCGTTTCTTTTCTTCTTCCTGGTACACCATTTTGATTTGATTCC